CAGGGTTTCGAACCCTCTGCGGCTCACCCGTGACTAAATACTGGTCGAGTACCCCTCCACCGGGTAAACACCATCAATATAACGCTCTACAATTATCCATATAACGCTCTACAATTGGCCTTGAAATAATAAAAATTAATGATTGGTTTTACTTTATTTGGCTCAGTTAGGAGAGCACCAGTCTGCTGAGCGGGAGGTCGCGGGTTCAAACCCCGGCCCGACCAACACTCAGGGTCTTTAAATAGCTGAGAAGAAAGTGCTGCCTTTGTAAAGACATCTGAAAACGGTTAGAATGTCTAGTATTCTCTGATAAGGACAAACAACCGTAGGTCCCGTCTAACAGCACTTTCACTTATCTGGTTCTTTTGGGACGTAAAAGAACCCACACCACTGTTCGAAAAGAGTAGGAGAGTTAGACCCCGGTGGTTTGGCCATGCTTTCCTGGGCTGGGTGGGTTATCTGTTAGGAGAGATCTTAATATAGGGATATCGACCCTTATGATCGTCCTTCAGATGTCGTAATTGCTACCTGTAAACAGTGTATGTATATTCCCTTAGGGTGGACAAGATGTACGACTTGTTAAGAGAGCAGACTGACATGTTAAAGGAGCTTAATCAACTCTGTCGTGCCAAGGAAGAAAAGCAAAAGGAGGAGAAGAAAGAAAGCGAATTTAAATTACCAGGAATGCAAATGTTTTCCAGTCTTCCTCAACTTCCAAAGTTCTAGATAAACGCCACTGTTGCCGTTCATAAGAGAAGTTAGTAACAATAGATAGCATCAGTGGTTGATCGGCATTTAATGAGAGCTTTCACATTTAGCCATCGCTTTTGTTACGCCAACACATTTCAAAGATCAAAGTAAACTTAACGTTAATTTTTCAGCTCAATGTGGGAGGACATGATTTAGCTAAGAGATTACAACTAGTTATGTAATACAACACTCTTTTTATCTTAACAAGCGCGTTTTTGTGCGATCCTAATTGCGAACGTAATTGGCAGCAAAAGTGTACTGAATTTCTATTGCTATGTAAGATCTTTTGTTGTTCAAAAATAGCAGCATTATTTAATTTATTTAATGCAATTTAGAGGTCATATGAGTTATTACATATTAGTTTTCAGTTAATAGGACGGTTGATTATTTTTGTATATGGAGCTTAATAGTAAGGTGCAAAACTCGCGAAAATTTGGAGTTCTCCTGGAATGTAGCGAGATAGTCAATTCTTCGAGTCCTTTTTAGAAGTGTAGAATATTATAACAACATTCTACACCAGCGTTCACAAGGAACTGATCCTTAATGTAAAGAAACTCTTAAGGCCTTGATAGATTGATCCGTTTATGTGGAAGGAATATTATACACCACAATGAAATAAATACAATGTACACAATAAATAAAACAAAAACGTCTGATAAATGCTTTTGCTTTTGATTCTACTTGTTAAGAATCGAGCCACCACGCGAGGTTTAAAATGGCCTTAAAGTAAACCTTTTCTCAGAATCTCTCTTTCGTGCTTGTTCATTTTCCTCTTTCTCTCGTTTGGAATCCTGGGCAATGTTATTTAACATTTCTGTCTGCTTTCGTAGGATGCTGCATATCTCATTGATTCTAAAGAGAGAAATCGACAAAAAAGTTTATTTGGTGAATGAGCTCTTTCCTCTGCAGAGGCCACTTTGTGTCGGAGGGGGACTGGGGAGAGGGAAAAAGAAAGCCCGCAGGGGAGGATGGGAAGAGGAAAGAGAGCCTTTTTTCTCTTCCCATCGTCCACTGCGCACTTACCGTTCATTAATTATTGCTTAGTGTACGATCAGTATTCCACATCTGTTGCTGTCTTTTGTTATTCCAACACGAGACTAGTTCCAGCCTCTGGTAGGAGAGGTGTTCTACAATCCTTTTTAATTACAAACAATAAATTCTCAATAATTACTTCATATTAATCCAAACTTCAACTCCTATGCAACACCGACAGATAGAAATTTTTTTGTATTCTAGTTTGTTTGTTTGTCTACCTATTATTTGAACAAAATATTTTTCGTTTTTTTTATTATTATTTTAACAAAATAACTTCGGTTTTCATATTGATTTTTTGAGATGACTTTCATAAGTCTCAGCCACCATTAGTTATTTGTGACTTCTACCTCTCCATGATTTGTTGTCAGGGTATGTTGTTTCTCAAGTTGTTTTTCTATTAACTTCTAGAAAGTGCAAAAGTCCCTGCCACCATTAATTAATTGTAACTACCTCCCATCTCTATTGTTTTTCAAACAAAAGATGTGTTACTGTATAATGACTGTATAATGAGAAAGTATTCATTCTGGCCATTCATTGGTTATTAGGAAATCTCTTTCACTAAAAACATTTTTACATATTGTGTGATTGTGTGTGCAATTTCTGAGTAGGGAATTTTGTGCAGAATGAATTCATTGTGATTACGAATTAGGGAACCAAGATGACAGAAAGTAGTCGGACGCTCTTGAATCCATGATTCTACCTTAGCACCTGCCATGAAATGGTCTTATTTCGTTAACCAAGGTAACTAGTTGTGTGGCTGTGTGGCTTGTTTTGTGTGGCTTGTGTTGTGTGGCTTGTTCAGGAACACTTTCTTCTGAGCTAAAGATTGCTTACGAGTTGTATGACCTTAGCACGTGTTATTATTTCTATTCAGGGAAAATACTCTTGCTTGAAAACTCGGGACAGTGAGGTATCATTGAAAAATCATCTTCCACTAGTGAAGGTATATTTCTTATCTAAATTGTTCATTAATTCTAAGACAGGAACTTTCTATTTGGTACGATATCAAGTTCATTGTTTAACCAGTCAGTACAAAACGCAGACTGCAGACTGCTGCAGACCATTGTTTTCACCATGCAAATGAGAACGTGACAATAATATTCCCATTAATTGTTCTTTGACCCTGAAAGCAATGGTCTGCAGTCAGTCTACAGCCTGCATTTTGTACTGTCCAATTATTTAATGACACTTTTGGTCAAAAGCAGATGCTAATATTGTAAAAACAGAGTGTGCTGATTTAGCGCCTTTAAGATTACACTTCATGAGTGATTCAAAATGGTCTTTGTGAAAAGATCAAGCAACTGGATTACTGTTTGATCCCTGACCGATCTTCTCTCGATATCACTTTCACGAATAATATTAATTTTAATGTTTTGTTTATGGAAATGTATGATGCCACATCCAAAACAAATACGATGACGATTTATACATTTTTGAGTCAAAACTTAAAACCAAGTATTGTCGCCTCGAGTCCATGTCAGTTATTTTGCTCTCAAACGTATTTTTGACTTTTTTCTGATGACATCTACTTTGAAAAAGAAAAGAGAAAGATTTCCCTCCACTAAGAATTGCTTGACACACTCTGCCCTCAGTCACAACATTTATTTTGACTAGCCTTCTCTCCTATACTCAGGCCTCCTAACAATCCGGGGGGGGTGGGGGATACTGCGAATTCGAAATGCATTTTTTTGCGCTCTAATCTAAGTAATGATTACATAATTTCTACCTAAAGGCGAGGTCTGAAAACGGGTATGGATTTAAGAGGTCTGGTCTGAAAACGGGTGTGGAAAATGCCATTTTTTGGTCTGAAAAAGGGTCAGGATTTGGAGAACCGGGCGGCAGTCCCTCACCAAGAATTCCCAGGTTTACTCCCCCCCCCCACCCCCGGGCTAACCATGTTGTATCGCTATAGAGCATTTTCACACAACGTCACTACCGCCATATTGGTGTCCCAAAACAATGAAAATGAAATAAATTTGCCTAGTGCTGCCTTCTTGAGTGAAAAGGCTCTATTCCAAGAAACCATGCGATAAACGAGCCAGCTTGGTTGGAGAAGGAGGTAATGGTTTGGGTAAGGAGGTCTATATTGCTTTGTCTGTGAAAATATACCCCATTTGAATGAAATAAGCTTATTGGCTTACTTGGCGTCCTGTTCCTCCAGTTTATTTTTGATTTCCATAACTTCCGCCAGAGACTCTGATTCCACTTCCTGTTCCTCACTGTCATCTCCCGGATGTCCAAACCCACAAATGGTATCATACAGCTTAATACGACATAATGATAAAAAATTAACGCTTCTACGTATTTTAAGGAGAACACATGCGCTATATAACTGGAGAAAATGTCATTTAAAGACTTAGTAAAGACTTGGTTAAACCAGTAATGAAATCAGACCAGAGTTAATTATGATTATAGTGTTTGACGGTTTAAAATCAGAGGACTACGTTAGAGATTAGTGCCCCTAATAAGCACAATGTAGGCTAAATTGTCTTGCCTTGTCTTGGCCAATCTTTTTTTTGGCTGAAGACCGAGTTGAAGCAGGCTAGTGAATTGAACAAGAGGTTACTAGGGCAGGGTCCCTACTGCCTTTCATTTGATCGCCTTTTAAGAAGGGATTCGATTGCTCTTGTTTCCTTGATGTGAACTTATTTTACCTCTCCTTGTTTTCTTTATATGTTCACAAGTTTGCATGCCGAGCCTCTATTTATTCTTTTATTTATTGCGGTGGACAAAAGGAGGCCGCACTCCTAATCTCCAGGTCGCCATTAGGTATGCACAGCAGACATGCAGCCAACTTCATTTGTACAGAACGTAATCTGATCACCCGCATTTAGAACTTCTATCACTCACAATCTCATAACGCGTGCTTTTGAACATTTATCACATGCACGAAAATTACGCAAAGCACATCGTTGGTCAGCAAAGGCGTTTGGACCTTCGATTGTTATCGCCCGTATTCCGCAACCTTTGGTTAATTATTACTAATTCTTTCTCATTACCCGCGTCTTTAATGGTGCTTTTTTGTTTGGGAAGTCCACGTGCTTCTCGAATTGGACAAGTCTTCGAAGCCATCGAGGGAGCTGTTCCTCAGTCTGCAGGAGCAACTGGATCTAATTTCAAACAAGAAATGGTCATCAACTCAAACAAACCTGAAGTAAACCGCAATATGTGTGCAAGCTTAAGGTTGTTTAAGATGTCATTTATCTGAAGACTTAAAAGACAAAAAATGAAAGTTACAAAGAATTTGTGAAATATAAAAACGGAAACGGGACAAATTGTTCAAGGGGACAAGATCTGATCATTTTCCAGACGGTTCTTTCACAATTTTCGCTGCCTTTCTCTTACAGTCAAGTGGCTAAACGCAAAACGCAAATGTTGGTCCAATGGTAAAAGTTCTGATCATTCCACAAGGGATTCCTCTTCTCCTTTCTTGTCATTTTCTTTCCATATTCGCCCCATGAAAGGGAATCGGGAATCCGGATTCTGGAATTCGAGAAATTTTGTTTGTGAAATCTGGAATCCTGGGCTTTGGAATCCGGAATACAGGTCAAGAAATCCGGATTACACTAACGATTGTAATCCGGAATCCAAGGTCCCCGGACATAGAATCTAGAATACAGTCCCTGCAGTCCGGAATCCAGAGTGAGGAATCCAGAATCCAAGATCATCCGTGGGTAAAACGTGGGTAATACGAAGAGTACCGTTCCCTACCAAGGCAGGAAACGAGGAGCAATTCGTGGAACTAAAAAAGAGAATTGACGTCTTCCTTTTCCATTTTCCCTTACAATTTACAATCGTAATCGTACATCATTGATGTTGAACGGCAAAATTTACCTGTGTGACGTATCTGTCCATTGTAGCATTCTTCTGAATATTGTCAATATCACCAACAGCAAGACCAACCTGTAAAAGATAACAACCATACCTTACCGGTAAATAACTAAAATATGAAATATTCATTTACTGTTCTTGTTATATTTGTTATTGACTTTGAATTCTGCAGTGCTTGGTGTGCTCTGTACGATAATGTATATTTCTGCTGAATTCTAGATTTAGGTAGTTCCACTCTTTTTAGTGGGAGAAAAGTGGCTCGGACTAGATCTGCTAGTACTCGGGTGTTTTGCGTTCATTTTTATATTCGACATACATTCTCTTTTCGTACGACTTACAGCTGGAACAGGTCGGGAGAAGGAGATTAGATTTAAATTTGAAGAGGGACTGACTACATGAATCATTGTCCTTCAAAAATGGTAGGAAACCACAAGTCAAATTATTTTAAAGACAGGATAGATACAGGGTATGATTCCATTAGGAGCATTTCATTATACAGCTAATTGATATACATTGACGCATCACTTTTTCTAAGTGGAAAGGGGTTTATGTTTTTATGCGGCAGCATCAAGACAAAGTTATGTTAAAGCTGCATAACTAAAACGAAGCTCTCCGAAATATTCCGCTGAATTCTTTTTTTTCCAGATATAAGAGAAAACTCTTGCAAGAATTTGCAATGTAAAAGTTAACGTCTCACCAGCATGTTCATGAGAATAATGGGCATTGAAAGAACAAAGATAACAAAAAGAAAGTTGACGAGACTTGAGAAAGGATATTCCCATGGCATGAAGTTATCAGCGTAGTTCAGTTNTCGGGAGAAGGAGATTAGATTTAAATTTGAAGAGGGACTGACTACATGAATCATTGTCCTTCAAAAATGGTAGGAAACCACAAGTCAAATTATTTTAAAGACAGGATAGATACAGGGTATGATTCCATTAGGAGCATTTCATTATACAGCTAATTGATATACATTGACGCATCACTTTTTCTAAGTGGAAAGGGGTTTATGTTTTTATGCGGCAGCATCAAGACAAAGTTATGTTAAAGCTGCATAACTAAAACGAAGCTCTCCGAAATATTCCGCTGAATTCTTTTTTTTCCAGATATAAGAGAAAACTCTTGCAAGAATTTGCAATGTAAAAGTTAACGTCTCACCAGCATGTTCATGAGAATAATGGGCATTGAAAGAACAAAGATAACAAAAAGAAAGTTGACGAGACTTGAGAAAGGATATTCCCATGGCATGAAGTTATCAGCGTAGTTCAGTTCACCCAAAGTCATGACAAAGACTGTTAATAACCAATGAGGAAGCGAGATGAACGTTTCCTAAAAAGAAATTAAATTCAAGTAAGTCAATTTCAATAATCAAAAAAGTTTAATTCAAAATTCCATGGCAGCATGACAACTTGAACTACTACAACAGTACTTCTGTTCTATTCTAAAGGTGCAAGACTATGTACTTACATTTTCATCGATCAGCATGTAAAAAGTTATTCCAAATGACAGAAGAAATAAGATGACCAGAACCAAGACCTTTTGTGAATATAAATAAAAAAACGCATCATTAAGGAGGTTGTATGAATAAAGATTGCAAAAGACGATTTTTCCAATGTATAACGTAGGACGTCGTGGGGATATTGCGCACACGAGGGGGAGACACTAGTAAAAAATCTGCTCCATCCATGTACTCTATGGCTTCGTCACAAAGAAAAGCATGAAATCTGAAGAAGATGAAATGATACTAAGGATGCAGGAGCATCATAACACAGTTTCAGCAAAAAGGACTATTGGAGTTGAGAAGGGTGAAGTTTGTGGGTTTCTTTATTTGGTGAAAACGGTAATTGCACTGCAGCAAAGCCAAAATTTAAATCGTTTCCAGGGCTTTTCCTTCGGGACGAGGTTGGAGAGCGATACATTGGGCCTGCGCGCATTCTCGTTCCCAGATCCCGCCGCTTCTTTTGGTCACGTAGTATTTGAAGCCAAGCAAATTAAGCCGAGTGGCTGTTAGGAAAAGAGAAGTCTTGTGAGGTGTTTAGCCGTACGATCAGAGTCGACCATGCGCATTTTCGTCACACACGTTAATGAATAAATCTATCTAAACCATTAAGCAAATGACCGGAAGACTGTACAGAGGCTGAGGAAAAACGTTTAAAGTCAAGACAAGATAAGATCTCACCTTTAACAGCGTTTTAAACATTGTGGCAAGCATGATAACATATGATCCGTAAAATGAAAGTCTAAGAAAAAAGGTGAAGAAAACTGTTAATACGCACAAATGTTTGAGACGTTGGTTACACATACACCTCTAAATAAAGACATTTTTTGATAATTTTTCATTGCCGCCCGCAAAATGAATATAGCAGCATATGGCTCCACATATCATGTGTTAGATCAGTCAGGCGCCAGTTGTTTATAAGGTGGATCACATTATGCCGTAGATAAATATTTGTCCAGTGGATAACGCGATTTCCTTATTTTTACACTAAGCTAAACTATTAGAAAACTTCATCAGGTGGATAGGGATATCCAGCTCTTGTGGTTGAACAACTCGGACCAGGCCCCAGTTGTTCAAAACGTGGATGGCTCTAGCCACTATAGATAAATCTCTAACCCCTGGATAACTCTATTGGTTTCCCTAAGACTTATCCACTAGATAGTGATTTATCCAGTGGCTTAGATGTTGGAAACTGGGGCCATGGATGCCAGAATCTCGATAATTTGAGTGATCCCACCATGAAAAAGAACGTAGATTAGAGGGCAGCCCCGCCTTAGACGACTGTGAGCGACCCCATAATACAGTTTTTCTGTTACTCACTTTCGTAAGTAAAGAATTAGGTTCATCCATCCAAAAAACATTGAAACAGCTCCAATCTGAATCTGCGTGCCAGTCTTACAGTCATAAGAAGGCAGGATAAACAGCATCGTGGTGATATAACCAGCCAACTCAAAATAATTGGATGAGGTAAAGAAGTAATTAGCACGCTGTAAAGAGTAACANACCCCATAATACAGTTTTTCTGTTACTCACTTTCGTAAGTAAAGAATTAGGTTCATCCATCCAAAAAACATTGAAACAGCTCCAATCTGAATCTGCGTGCCAGTCTTACAGTCATAAGAAGGCAGGATAAACAGCATCGTGGTGATATAACCAGCCAACTCAAAATAATTGGATGAGGTAAAGAAGTAATTAGCACGCTGTAAAGAGTAACAAAAACAGCGTAAGCTAGTAAATACATTGACTTTCCATTCGCCAATTTAGAAAGGAAACGAGAACTGGACCGAGTTAAATCTCGCAAAGATTTCTGGGGCGGTCACAAGGGAAGTAGGGAAAACGTGGGCCAATAGCTGACCGGCATATCACCAGTAACCATCCCAGAGACAATTGCGCCGGCCGCTCTATCTCGCCTAAAACTTCCAACCAAAAATGGCCATATCTGCACTACGCAACGGCTGTGCAATGTGCAAACTGGACAAATTTCTCTCAAAATAACCTCTACATTAGGACAAAGTCTCCACGAAAGGTTGTTCCGATGGTATGGCCGCCGCTATGTAAAGGTTTGACCGTCCTCAGTTTCATAGCTTTGTTGTTCTTTTATCTAATGATAGTAACGTCGATAGTGACGTTTCAATAGCCGACTGCCTACAAGCGATGATGGTTATAATCAAAACAGGGCGGGTCGCGGTAAATCGACCCTGTTGTGACAGTGAAAGTAGTACTCGGTGGCTAAGTTACGCAACATTTCTGCTCAAATAATACAGAACTTTGAAATACCATTAAATGTGGGTGGCATTTACCTTTGAAACCATTTGAAAGATTTCTCTAGCCAAGTGAATAGAAGTAAAAACAATAACAACAAAGGTCAATGCTTGAACTTTCTAAAATGATAAAGAAAAAAGAAGTAAATTAGTCAAAAACAGTAGAGTCATCTTTTAATACTTTATAAGAACCAAAAAGTATTACCACTCAAAAATTAACCTTTTAGACTTACCAAATGAGACTTTTCTTTAGGTAAGGTTTCAAGGTAATCCTTAAAATGCAAAAAATTCACAAATTAATATCGTAGCAAACGTTCCAGTGTGAGGTGAATTTCCACTGCCGCGCAATTTTTACTTGCCTACGCACCTAAATTATACCCGTGTACATAAAATAGAGCTTACGTATGAAGTGTCGCTCGTAAACATATAAGTTAAGCGTGCTTTAACGCTTACACGAGACCTGATACATTGCAAGCCTCTATTTTATTTACACGGGTAGACGCACCCAAACATTACGCGACAGTGGAAATTCACTGTTACACAGGTGTCTGTGTTGTCTATAGGTGTGTAGCTGGACTGTATAATCAAGATGGTAGGTGCATCAAATTACTCTGCTTCTTACTTTTCTTGTGTCGGAGTCGTTCGAGGCACAATATTCTTTTTCGTTATCTCGTGAATATAGCGCCAAAGCGGTCAGCGGTACCAGATAACAGAGGTAGAGGAGAAGGTTGAACATGAGAGATGTAAAACCAAATTTTTTCCTGCAAAAGAATTGTTCACAATAACGATTTCAAGTACATTCGGTACCAATGCTTTATACTTTTGACAAATACACTAAAAGCTAGGGCCTAGTTTAGGGCAATGAACAAACGCAAGAAGAAGAGCTGGTATTCATGGCTGCCGTTAACTGAATACACAAGACAGTAATATGAAAAAAAAGAAAGTAATAGACGAGCTCGAAAAAAAAAGAAATTGCTGGGGATAATAATGCCCACAAAAACAGTAAAATACTTCTTAGTAGCTGTTATTTGAATGGTCAGACCACAGATGATTCATCCGCAGACTCAAATAAAGCTAGGAACACCTTGCAGGGCTTCTTATAGCACATTCAATAAATTGTACCACAGGAAAGCACTCTTCAGTGCGTAACTGGTTTAGTCCACCGACACAAAAATTATACATACATCATCCTTGGACCTTTTTTAAAGGGAATTATAAAGACTGTGTCTTCATCACTCACCATTTTAAATGCATCAAGGTGAAGATGACTTTGTGAGTCAGACAGTTGTCACGGCGATATTTGACCATCGTCTGAAAAATATCAAATAAAAAAAAAAAAACTGGTTTCGGCATATTTCTTGCGTAAATTACTACTGAGGTTTTTAAGGACCAAACCTCAATGCCAGAGAAATAAATCAAACCGACAAAAGAACTTTAAAAAAAGGGAATTGGCGTACGTAAATAGACTAATTAAAGCCATGTGTTTGAGTAACTGGTCATGATAGCTGCCTAAATTAAATCCATTCGCTTGTTCAATGAGGTCTGGTCATATTTAGTTACCTTTAATACTGTTAGCTGGTCCTTCTCGGGATTGGGAACATATTTTGCTTGGACCACTGTCAAGTCTTTCTTAACCTTCGAGAAAAAACATATAAAAATATTGCGCAATGAAATTAAAACAGTCCCACTTTGATAAATGAGTCTAGCCTGCGAGCAAGCGTTCCTATTGGGGCGAGTGAAGCGAGTCTCGCGAGAACGCGCGAGCGAGCGGCAAAGCCGCGAGGGGCCCCTCGCTCGCTCGCGCGTTCTCACGAGGCTCACTTCGCATGCCCAAATAGGAGAGCTTGCTCGCAGGCTCATATGAGTCTAACGAATTCGTCTCGTACCTCTCCATACTTGGTCGCGTTGTTGAATAGATAGACTAGTCTTTTAGTAGGGAAGAAAAAGATTTATCGACGCACCTTGTATTCTGGTTTCATTTCGTCACCTTCTTCCACAACACATTGATCTAAAATGCGCTAAAGGAAGACAAATTTTTTATTTTATATTGTTATATATCGTAAGTCTCTTAAAACATAAATATGGCATTTCCACGGGGAGCTAGATGCCGCTATTTGATAAAAATGACGTTTTACCTCTGCAACGTCCGGCATTTTTATAACCAGCGCTTGCATCATTAAGAGGGAGCCTGGAGCTGAGGATGACAAGATCTCTCTCCACCTTAAAAGTACCAACAAACAAAGAAAATGAAGCTGCAATTAACTCCAGGCAGCTAAATCATCAATATTATTACAGTGTATATGGCTACGATAGTACGCGCGCTCCGATTGGCTGCTAAGCGGGCATTATTTTCCTGTGTTGACCAGGCTTTTCTGGCTAGGTGTCCAAGGCATTTACCATCTGTGTTTAACTTGATAGTGGCCATTCTTATGGAAATCCATGTTATGGTCAATTGATCGACAGCTGTCAGAAAGTGTATCCGCTGACCAATTTTACATGACTGTATAGCGGGCTGAAGTGTACGACTCATTGAGGTTACGTGTTTTTAAAGTTATCCGCTGATCAGTTATTAGCCTGTTCCAAGCGTTCAGATAGTGGAGAGCGGTGCGAAGTAAAGATAGCGATGAAAAGTAGAGGGGGACTGGGGAGCTGGCTCAGGTCCATAAAGAAAAGACCATATGATAAATAACTTAACCTGACGTCCGTCCAGTCATTACGCTATCGCTCGGTCAATACATCTAGGCCGCGGTCTGAGATTTCCCTGTAATGATCATTTTTTCACTCGCCCCAACTGTGGGTCAGTTTGAACGTCCAAATCGATCGCACTGCAAAATATGCCTGCTTTGCAGACTAGCATGCTTGCATCATATTCACCTGGGATGTTCAGCAATTGCCATAGCAACGTTACGCTTTTCTTCGTTCAGGGCGATGTCCAAGAGGTTTTGATTGTATGAGTTCATTAAGATTTCTTGATCCTCTTGTGACATCAGATAAACAACAATTTCATCATGTCCTTCAAATGACGCCAGGTTCAATGCTGTGTTCTGTAAGGAACAAAAGGTTTATTAACCCCTTGAATAATTACTTTAGCCTCTTAACTGAGAGAAAAATGGGAATAACGCATAAGATACTGAAAAGTATGTTTTCAATATCAAATGTAAAATTTCGCTTTGAAAAACTACACTGAACAAGTAGTGCCATGAGAAAAAAAGTCCCAAGGAGGATCCATTTAAAATTGGTCTCATGATAGACAGCATTTTGTCGACGCACTCAAACGTTAGAGCTACCTTGCACAATATAAAAAACTTAACCAGGGGAAAGTACTACTTGACAGCTTTAATTTGACTGGTTGCATTGCAGTAATTCATCCACAGATCAGACTCAAAAGTCAGAGCCACCTTGTGCAGCATAATAAACAGTACAAAGGGAAGTTGAAAAGTTCTCATTAAACTAGGAATTTTGTCTAAAGCCTCAAAAATCAGAGAAACACTTCTCGAGGTTTCATCGTTGAATTGAAGAGAGAAATTGTTAACCTTGTTTTCGTCGACAGCGTTTAGGCAGTCAGGATGCTTTTCCAAAATAGACACCACACATCTCTTGGATCCTCGAATGGCCGCCAGATGTAACGGCGTCTTTTCATGCTGATCCCTGAAACCAAGAGGAGTTTAAATCTGATCATCTCAAAATTTAAACTGTTACAAAGTATGCCTACTTAACTTTAAAAACAGTTCTCAGTTTCCTGTTTTATTCCAAAATGTATCGCCAAATCGCCACTAAAGAACCGAGAGGGAAACTGGGGCGAGTTTACATTCGCAAAGACTTCTGGGACTGTTTTAGGGACAGGGGAAAAATTGGCCAGTAGCTGAGCGGCACGTCATTTTAACGTTCCCAGAAGCAATTGCGGGACACATTTCGGCGCCAGTTCCCTTCTCGAGCAGTTTTCAGTAATTGTCTCTGTTCTGTGGAACACGTCGACCAGTGTACTTGCTTTTCTACCGTAGCACCTTGCGAAAGAAGGAATACCACAACTTGATCATGACCATTGCAGCAAGCAAGGTGAAGCGGAGTCATTCCTTTGTTGTTTTGTAAGTTTATCATACGAATGTTCCGACCAACCAAAAGACTCTCCACTATTGCCAACCAACCGAATCTGAAACAGAACAAGTAAACAAAAAGTCCTATTGTGCTAGAACGAAACAAGTTAATCATGTTTTTTTATTTTACTTTCAAGTAACCAAGTAACATATCGACCATGAGATGCAGTGTTTCATCACCAGATGAAACACCGACAAGAGAGTTGAAAATACGACGCGCAGCGGAGTTTTTTTGACGAACTTAGAGATGTTTCATCTGGTGATAAAACACTGTGTCGAATGCTTGATATTACTTATCAAACAATACGGTTTTATCAGGAAAATTAAGGATGCAAAAATGAGCAGTTTTTCATTTGATTTCCAAACACTCATTTAATATTAATTTCCTTTGTATTTATTTATGAATTATTAATGAGTTTGAGATGTACAAATCAAACACGAGAAGGAGTGTTTCATCTGATTTTCGAATAATGAGATGTATTTTATCAAACACGAGAGTGAGTGTTTCATTTGAAATTCAACTAAACTCCCTCTACCAATTGTCTTTATACTAATCATAACCGGCCGTACAAAAGTAAAATTTTCCCATCACTATTTGTACAATGTTCACTATTATTCCAAACCGCGATTGTTAAATCTTACTTGGCTGCAATGTGTAGGGGTGTGTCAAGCTCGTTTGATGTGACACCAGCGGCAGCTTTATTTGTCTCCATCAGAAGGGAAATGTTCTGAAAAATTGAAGAAGATGCAGAAGGTTAAAAAAAAGTTGTACATTAGGGTGTAACTAATACATGTCATTGATGTATAAATTATATCATTTATGGGCATGCGTGTTTGGACCTGTTCATGACGCAACAAAGCCTGCAGTAGTGAATGTCGCTGCCAAACATTTTTGCAACAAATCATAGTCTAACTATACATCAATCATATTGTTCCTTTGATGAGTAGTTTATTCTTTTAGTTTTAAGTCACATTTCGTGGCTTCGATTACTCGTTCTTTTGAAGTCCTAGCAGATGGGAAACAAAGTCTAGCCGGAGCAATAGCATTTTGGGAATATCCGCTTTGGTGTTGGTAATCCAAGTTAATTCAGGTTAATTTTCGTGCATCGCATGGCGAATTCATATGGGCTTTTTGAGAACAAGCGATTCATTTGATGGATTATCACCATATTAGTCTCCTTGCGAGTAGTGATCAATGCTTTATCAATCAGAGAGATCAAAATAAAATCTTTTGTGTAGGGCATAATCGTCGTTTTATTTAGCACCAAAGAAATAATTGAGGACACTATTTATACAGAACCGCCATTTTGCGTGGTCATCCGAGCCACACGAAGGTCTATCCCTTAGCACGCAGGACAAAGGTAGCACCTTCCTTTTTTTCAGTTATTTTAAGACCTTCATTATTGGTCCGGCCCCAGCAAAAGAAACGAAGACCTACCGCTCTGCTGTCAAGCGCGCTTACTACCGACTGAGCTGATCCTGATTTGATGAGTTGAGTTGATCTTTCGAAATCTTCGCCCTGTCACTTACTACTCTTACCTTGGCTTGTCCTTTCCCAGCGGCATAATGTACCGGTGTAAAGCTCCTGTGATCTTTGTCAGTTATAAGATATGCTGATGATGGTTCCTTTATATTCCAAAAAATTAAACAACAACAAAATAAAAACAATGTTATTGCAAGGGAGAAATATAAAGGAGGGATGCTTCTACGCGAGTTAATTATAAATTGTTGAACTTGTCTAATTCCTTAGAAAAAGTTGCTGAGACAAAATGTTGTTATAAGGCCTTCTAAGGAGACAACGAGTACAGAAAGGATATGTAAAGGAAAATTAATGGACAGAAATAAATCGTTATAGTCACGCTACCATTTTGGCCATCTTCTATCCAATGGCAAAGCAAAAGACAATTCCCGAGTTCCTCTTAAACCTTTGTTTTAAAGCGAGGCTAAGTAGGAAGCCATTGATGTGAAAATGAATTTCTTAATCCCATGCAGATAACTGACTCATTTTCCAAGAAAGGTTTTTCACTTAGCCTCGTTTGAATAGCGAGAGTTTAATTTTGTGGAACTTGGAAATGGCCTCTTTGAGGCCTTTTGGGATTGAGCTCTATTAGCCATATTGGTGTCCCAAGACAATGAAACGGCGGCCATGTTGGTGTCCCAAACCAATCCTGTGGGATTTCGCATACAAAAGCTTTCTTTTGTTCCAATAAATATGCATAGACGCTGGCCACGCGAGTGAAAACACTCTGTATCAGCTAACCACATGATTTGTAAGTTATGTAAAGGAACGCACCTTTAGAAGAATCTCCATCGCACCAGGATGAGAAACAGCGGCATGAAGAACTGATTTTTGCTGTACGCTTTTGACTGTGACGTCAGCGCCTCGCTCGAGTAACAATTGAATGGTCTCAACGCCTCCCTTCTCTGCTGCTCTGAAGAGGGGGGTACAGCGGTCTCGATCAGGGGGATCCACAGCGGCACCCTATGTGATATGAAGGATAAATTGCCAAATGAAATTGGCTCTAGAAGATAGTAATCTTCAACAGATGGTTATTGCAAGACAGGTTTTTGCTTGCAACGTTTTTCATACCTAATCTTTTTCGATCATATCCTTTGAAATCTAATTAAAACTGTGTGGCATGTATGAATTTATGCCGCTAAGTTGGATCGAAACTCAACGAAAGCCTACAGAAGGAATCAGGTGACTAAACGAGAAACCATAATTATGACGTGTTGAAATTAACCACTTTTACCTGATCTAGAAGATATTCGACGACATGCACGTGGTCACTCGCGGCAGCTTTGTGAAGAGGAGTTTGCCCTTTAAAGTCAATCAGCATTATTCGACAGATGGAAGGGTCATGATTGGCCAAACGTTTTACGGTCTCGAGAGAACCTTGTCCACATGCCAAATGAAACGCTGTGCTTCTGTCGGAGGCCTGCAAATAAAAATGGCGTAGCCTTGCATGAAAATGTCTTATTTCATTAGCAGGACCCCTATATGTTATTTCTTTAACGTATAATAAAGGCTAATCATCAGACGCGTATCAACAAACTCAACGCTATGCTAGCTCTAGACCATATTACATCCTACAATTAAGTTTATAAACCAACCTTTGGATATCTTGCTCTTGCACCACTCTGCAAAGACAGTTCAACAATCTGTAAAAGAATAGAACTGTCACCTTTATGAAAAGAGTTAACGGTCAGACCTCTGGATATGATCCGTGTCAAAGTCGTCGTCTACCTTCTACTGAGCATCGTCATAATCACAATCATACTGAATCATCATAATCATCATCATTATCATTATCATGGTAATCGACAACGGATACCATAGTGTGTCTTTTAAGCCAAAGATAAAGATAAGATATGAATAGGTAGCGCCTATTAGGCTGTCAAACAGGTTTCTTATGTCTTTTTTCAAAAAAATTTCCTTGGCTCAAGTACCTTGTTATCACATACTAGAAAGATGACCTCCAGTTTTACAAGTTGCTAAAAGACAAGATTAAATTCGTGCAAGTATTCCCAGGGGCAGGTTACAATTAATACTACATAAATACGGAGAAATTTATCAGTAGCTAACCTTCAGGTTGCCGCTGTCTACAGCCATATGTAAAAGAGACGACCCATCCATATCCGCTTTGTAAAGAAACGACTCCAAGTTCAGCTGCTGAGTTTTGACTGAAAGCAAACAATGTTGGCCAAATCACATCTTTGTTGACAATAGGGGCGCGATCTATTTAACTAAAATTCCAACCGGTCCGACCGGGAAAAGTGGTCCACCTCAGAAGGTGGACCCGTTTTTTCGAAACTTTTCCGGTTGGACCGAACCGATTCCATTTCCGGAAATTATGGTTGAATGGATCGCGCCCTAGGTTTCTAATTTAGACTTCCATCCAAAGTACATTAAACGATTTTATTCCTTGTAGTAATAAGGGAAAATGTTTTGTTTACTGTAGTGAAAGAAGTACTCCACAGCATCTTTGGCCCCTCTTTCTACCGCGTGACCCAAGGGAGTCATCTGGTCTTCATCCATTATGTCAACCCTTGCACGATGTTCAATCTAAACCATGAATAAAAACGTTCGATGGCTATGAAAGCGTTTTTAATAACAAAATATTTATCACTTAAGAGAAGAAACGGAAAGGAAGTATAATGGACGTGACTCATCATTGCTATCATTTTGTTACACTAATCACCATAATCATCGTCATCAACACTGTAATTATAACATAAGCAAAGTAAATCGCGCGCACTAACTGGTCAACTAACCGTTTACATTTGGCCCAAGGCATACGCGCTCTTGTCGGCCTCTTCCTATCCTTACCCCTTTTTAGTGCTTAACATCCTCCCACGCGCATTTGCAACTCAGGTGTGTAGCTCGACCCCTGCACCCTGAGCGTTCACAATTTTTTGATAGACTTCTATCGTTATCGTCACCATCATCATACTTACCAGTATCTTGCAGACGTTAACTCGATCCATTCCAGCTGCCAGGTGAAGGGGAGTCACACAAGCGCGGCCAGCGGAATTAACGTCACATTGTGAGTTTCGCAGCAGCGCCTAATGACACAAACGATGGCGGAAAATTAAAAACTTATCAATCAACTTGCAGTTTTAGCTGCTTTTTTCTAGCAGAAAGGTAATTTCCTGCTACCGAAATTTACTGTTCGTCTGGTTCATTATACGTGGAAACTGCCCACTTACCCCTCCCCTAAGCCAACACTTTGCCTTAAGTGAGAAGTTACTGTAAATGTTGGCTTAGGGTGGGAGTAGGTGGGCGTTCGCCTCATGTAAGGTAATCCAAGACAGTCTTGAATTCTAGATTCCGGATTCCCGATTCCGGATTTCCACAGGCAAAAAGTTTACCAGGTTCCTCTTTAGCTTATAGTGGCGCCACTCTGTTTTGTCAGTGAGGGCGGATTGCCCACACGCTTAGCCCCAACGTGGAGCACAAAGGCCGAAATCAAGATAGCATTGGGGAAGAAATGACCGATATCGTGAAGGTATCTTTAAGTATGATCTTACTCGTGTCACCCGTAATCTATACCTGCAGTATTCTTTCGTCGCCTACTCTCACAGCTGTGTGTAGTGGTGTGTCCTTCCTCTCATCTTGAGCTTGGACATCTGCGCCCTTGTTGAGGAGCATCTCTACTATTCCCATCTGCTTTCCAAGAATTGCATTGTGTAAAGGTGTGCGACCGAACCCATCTGTGACACCAATATCTGCGATGAAGGGCACGAACGCAGAGTAAATCCTCTATTAAGCCCCTTCCCGGGGAGCTTATTTATTTCAAACACATTTGAGGTGGGCTTAATAGAGACGGGGGTTATTTGAGAGGGTGGATTATTGAATTTAGCAAACACGATGATATACCTTCTCCATAAAGAACTATAATACAAAGTGGAAAAGCTCAAGTACAAGAAGTTGGAGGTCATGCAGCAGAGGATCAAACACAAATCCGAACTTCGAGTTGGTGAATAAACCGTCCTAGATCAGACCACACGACGTTTTGCAGTCGTGAATGATTAATACAGTCTATCATTTATTAGCGAGGAATAATGAAAAGAGAGGTGGGCTTATTAACTTTCTTCCCCTGAAAAAAAAAGCGGGGAAGCGGTTATTAGAGAGTGGGGGCTTATATGAGAGGGGAGGGAGCTTAATAGAGGATTTACGGTATGTTTTATTTGCACGACTTGGTTAATCTTCCTTCCTACAAGTGGCCAAAGTGAGGTGCTGAATAACAAAAAGTGCTATGTGAAAGATGCACCGGAGGTTTCTCCCCTGACCGCAGGATTTTGTCCATGTACTCAAAAGCTAGAACTAAGTACAAAACAAGTACCACGTAGAAGTGCTGCTGAAGAGGTTTCATGCGAATGATTGCACTACACGATTTCGTCCACAGACTTAAAATTAAATCAAAAGCTTCATCATTCACTCTGAGATCGGTTTTATTCAAACAACATTGCAAAAGCATAGAGAGTTAGATACATTCACCCAAGGGTGGAGACTGGAGCCCAGATCTTTACAATTTAAGTTACATAAAAACATCAGCATAATTTGAGGAAACTGGAACCCTTCATTTGGATCCCAGATTGTTAAACGGTCCTGGGCCCCTTCTCACCTGATGGTCTGCAGCTCTGGGGTCCTAAAACCTCGTGAGTAGTTTTTGATAACGTAGTTAGGGGTTACAATTTGAAAAAATGTGAACTTTCATATGGCTTTTCACTTCGCATAAGTTTAAAAATAATCTCTGGCTGCTGCAGTCCACTACCTAGCATCTCATCCTAGCCCCATCTAGATCATATCAGTGCGATATATTCCTTCATTTTCCTCTAAGGATTAAACTATTGTTCTCGTTAATCATAATGCAGTCTTGCTTACACTTTCTCGCTGGAAGAGGGGATAATATCACTCACCCACTCCTTTGGAAATCAATGCCTCCACAGTTCCTTCATCACCGGACATGGCAGCCTGATGGAGTTGCTGTGATTTAGGGGCTTTCTGCAAGTTAATTCAACGTTTAGAAAGCAAACTTATTATCTATGATCTTAAAACAGGTTGATTTGCAATATTTAAGCATCTAATGGCGACTAATATTGAGAAAACTCAAATCCCGGATGACTTAGTTCTGGTAACTGTGATCTCTCGCGAAGTGTATTTTAAATGCTTCTGTCAGTTGCAGTTACTTTGGATATGCATTCTTAGTAACTTTGCAAACGATAACCTTGTAATTCTGAGATACATCCATACATTCTCTGTCAAATAGCAGAAGTCCTTGAGCAGAACTTGAATACATTTTCTGAGCAATTTTTGCTCTTTGTTCGGCGTATAGTACCAAGAAAATCAATCAAATATCTTGCGTGATTCGGGTGATTTTTGCCTATGTTGACTTATGTTAATCCCATTCTTTTCATAATAGGGTCTTTTCAGAGTTTGAAATGTCCTCAACACTTCCTATGTAAACTTTTTAATGCAGGCCAAGAATGTAAATTTCAATCAGATCACGCAAACGTAACATCATAAAGATTCGGCTCTGCACCAGGCGGAAGTTCCTGTTTCAAACCTACTTTATTCAACAGGCCGGAGCCTCAAAAAGATGGTCGCCACATTGGCTGTCTGCAAAAATGTAACCGAGTTTTTAATTAATGAGAAATGATTCAATTCGGTATAGTATGAACTGCTATCCGATTTGTCACTCTCCACTTTCGAGATCAGCGTGGGCGCTGCTTCGCTCCGAAATCGCGCCGAAATCACTGTTATTATATGTGAACAGAAGCCTATACGGTATGGTTTTGGAGACGGCGCAAAAACTATCCTGTATAGTGTGAATACAGCCTCAGTGTATCACGCGTAATTATTTCCAGCAATCTTTACTCACGGTTTCATGCCCTTCCTTGGAGAGTGACCTGGAGAGCATCGGGTATATGATTGGGCGAGAGGTTAAACTTGCTACATAGCAAGAGAGGTTTCTTCTTTTTTCTTGGTGCTCTCTTGTAAATAGCCAACTTGTTTGCCTCCCATTTTAACTTTGAGCTGTCAACTCTACCTTGTTTCATTTCCCTACTTGTCTTTGTAATTTTTTTTGTTCCACTTATAAGTGGGTAGTACTAAGGGCAAAGTACACTTCCACTTATAAACGAAGCATTTTCATTTTTCCGTTTCCCGATTCCTACAAATTAAGTCAATCAAAGGTATCATTGTCTATGTCACGGTCACGGGAAATCTGGTCAGCTTACCTGGCGTAGATCATCTTCATCGTCTTTCTTCGCCAAACTTTCCTCAGAGCTCAAACTCTTCATGTTAAACGAGTTATTATGGCTCCGATCGCCGTTAGTCGTCTTTATTAAAACGTCGTTGGTCGAATTCTTTTTCCTTTTTGGCATGCCTTTGAAGAAATAAAAGAAGGTTGGGGAGCGGTCAAAAAGTATAGGGGGAGGGGGGTGAGCCGGAGCATTTGGAAATGTTGTTGATAAAAAACACATGGCCCACCCCCTCCCTTAAGCACAAAAATGACTGCACAGTAATTTTCAAGGAGTTAGAATAACTCCTCTAGTGGGGCTAATTTAAGTCCTTACAGTGGAGTTATTTTAACTCCAAAAAGGAGTTTAAAGAACTCTTTTTCAGGAGTAAAAATGACCCCAAATTCGGAGTTAAATTAGGAGTTAAAATAACCCCCAAAAAGAGGTTATTCTGTACCTAAAATTTTTACTCAATTTTTGGAGTTATAATAACTCCCTAAAAATTACGGTGTAGTCAACAAATCTTACATTTTCCCACATCCCGCTCTGTATTTTAGTCAAATTCCGCGGTATCCCGAGAATACCCTCCCAAACCCTGTGAAAAAAAAACGTCGAATGCAAAACGGTAGAATCACAGGCGGACCATTCGAACTGTTTATGAAGCATTGTGTTTATGAAGCATTTCTACCAATCATTTGAATCAAGGCGAATGCGGGCGTCACGAAATACAGTGAATGTATATGTCACGTGTGACATTACGATGCCTCGAACAGTTCGAATGGTACGCCTGTGGTAGAATGAAAAGCGAATCGAACGATAACAATGACTCCTTTCGAGGGACTGGACCTTCCAAACATAATAATCGTGGATCTTCGAATTTGTTTCATTCCTTTTTTGCTCAGAGTTTTGGAATGTTTTTGTTTTTGCTCTAATGATTTCATACATAAGAACTATTAAGATGAGCAAGAACTCTCAGAGAAAAAGATATTTAGATTTGAGGTCATTAAACATAAACAACACTTTTGACGTGTTGTATGGATAGACTAAGCAAATGTGACTTGTTAATGGTATATAAGCGCAATTTGAGCGACATTAGGATCAAAACCATCTTTTCTATGTTCTTTTATGTCTTAAACTAGCGCTCGATCTGAAGGCCTGCGAGTCTGCTCTTCTTCTCTTGAAGTAAGTCAGACCCGATTGCTAAAGCGTGTTAATTCCTGGAATACACAAGAATGCTAATTTATCTTACGTGAATTGTACAGAAAAGCGCTTTTAACTCCGATTTCAGCACGATAAAGTAACAGAAATGAAATAAACCTACTGACCTTGTCTTTTTCAAAGCTTTCTTTTGCTTTCGTGGCTACAATGTTCTACCTCACTTCGAACTTAACATTCAAAACGTTCGAAGTGTTTTGCATAAAACCAGACGCAATTCGCTAGGGAGTAACCGTGCAAATAGAGAACAAAACGGGAAATAGATATTGTTATGAAAATCATGCAGTCACAATACCACGCTTTGACAATAGGAATACTAATGTTTGTTTTAGTTAATCGATTGTACGTGCTTGCATATAACGAACTATGATAATGATAACTGACTTAAGATAAAGGACTTAATAATTTTGACACTGAAAGTTTCTTTCAGTTGAATCTCCATTAAGCGGTCACCTATTTTAAGCAGCCACTTTCATCAGTCTTGAATGAGTCGGCCGCGGCTTCATCATGGTCAATCCCTTCAAGAGAATTAATTCTCCAGTTTTTGCTACCTCCATCAAGCGGCCATCAAGGGCGTGATACACTTGTTTTGGCTATATTTTGAAAAAAAACATGATGTGGGAAAATTCAGTCCTAGAAAGAAGGTGGGGACTGATTGTGGACCGGTAGAGCCGCTCCCATCATGCATCTCGTGCTTGTTTCCAAATAAAGTGTTTTGCTATTCCTATTTATATTCACGACTAAGAGACGGGAATGGGTGTGCAGCTCGAACTGTGGAGCCTGAGTGTTTGGTGCCGTCCAAATAACATAGAAAGTTCAACATCATAACTAAAGAATGGTATACAAATATTGCTAAATAAAGTAACTCAGGCTAAACTATTCACGTGCGCCGCCTGATACGAAAACCCAAAAACCCAATGGGAAAAAATTGGGAACGTATTCCCCAACCGATGCGATCGCACAACCTCTGGGGGTAAAGGTGAAAAATCAATCAACAGATGAATAAAGTAAGATATAAAAATAAAAGTTGATAGTTCGAGAGCTGAGATGAATACATTACAACTGTCAAAACCTTATATACCTAATAACAATAGAATCAATTAACGCCATAGAGGCTCACGTACTTTCATACCCATAGGAAAGTATTCACATTCTCTGTCACTGCCACTACGTTTAGTTCTGCCGAATGTAAATACATAACATTTTGCTAAGTATATGACCATAGTTAATTGAGTGGAATGGTTATGAAACCCGTCAGACTCCTTTGTTATATGTTTTTGTGGACCTGAAAGTGCACAACGTTCAAAAGAATTCCTATCATTTTTATTGTATTGACCAATAAAAACGTTGCATTAATTTATTTCGTAACAATTTGCCAACAGAAAACAAAGGATTGTGCACTTTCAGGGTGCTTCCAACATAAACTGCAGCACTGTTGTTTTTATCATTGATGTTTGCCGCTTTTCATAACCAGTCTCCTCTAATAACTATGATTTGACGAACCGCTATTCATTGCGACCAGCCGCCATTAAGCAACCTTTAACTGGTAGAAATAATAGAAATACTAATAATTCCTCTCTCTGTATATTGCATTTTATGGCTGAGTTTTCCGCATCTCCAATCTTAAACGACTCTTCTTGGGAATTTGGAGCGGGCGACGCTTATAAAGATGCAGCCAAGAAATCAACCTGCTTTAAGTATTTAATGATACAAATAATAAATACGGACTCATCTGTCACAGGCGCCTCTAAATACGGATCGCTGATACCGAGACTTCTTAATAGGGGTACCTGAGTACACTGTCACAAGCTAAGGAAAATTCAGAAAATTGGGTAACTAGAAAAAATGGACATTTAAATCGATTACGCTATTGTTCCCGAGGTTCTTAATCTGCCGGGAGAGCTTTTTTACAAGCCACCACACAAATCAGGAATGTGTATTCGCCATTTATTTAGTTTTCCTTTGAAGTCTATTCGGAATAAGCTTTTTCTCTTAACTGACTGACAAAAAAATAACTCTAATTTCCATATCACGGTGCGTTTGGTTTGGTGGGTTACTGAACTTTTAAGGAAAGGGTATAAGTAAGCAAATATCCACAACATAATAAAATGAAAAATCATAATTTATTGACTTTTGCTTAGTTATATATAGACAATATATACACCATAAAGCTGAAAATATTATTTTAAAAAGGCACTACGACTGCCCCCTGGGAAAATGGCCAGTCAGAGTCGAAACCCAGTCCTTTGTCATTTTAGGGCCTGTTTACATGGAGTGGGGGACCCCGGTCTAGTGGGGTTGGTTTCTTTTGTTTTCACGCTCTGGGGAACACAAAACAAAAGAAACCTACCCCACTAGACCGGGGTCCCCCACTCCATGTAAACAGGCCCTTAGTCCATGACACTGCATGTGCATCTGTGAAAGTACGCGTGCTGTGTATACAAATTACCAGAAAGAAGTGCCATTCGTGCAAAGAACAAAAGACGTTGCAGAAGTCTGGTTTACATGAAGCATTACCCAAACGGTTATTTAGGTAATATGTTTTTTCCGCTTTGGCCAATTAATTCTTTATAAATTGCTGTGCGAAAATTACCAATGTTTTTGAAGCGCCTTATCCTGCTTTATTGGGTTGATGATGTGTTGCTTGAATATCAAAACAGGAATAAGAGAAATTCTTTGAACAAAGTCTCCGTATAATCTACACTGGTAAAGAGTTACTGTAGCTGAACATTAATTTTCGAATTGTGCACAGAGTTGGACATCAGTGACATAATATATTGTATGTGTAACTGCAAGGTAGACTTGATTCCAAATTTTTATTGTTTGTATCAAAACACTCCCATTTGCCTCTTCTCGGTGAAATTCTGGGCTGGAGATGAGGACAACTCTGAAAATAAAATTGAGTTAGTCGGTAACCTTTTGTGTTCATTTATATGGGAAAAATATGAAAAGAAAAGGAAAAAATGCAACTTGAGGCCTGCGAATGGCCCCTTTGAGCCATTTTTACCATGGTATAATTTTGCTTTAACTCTTAGAATACATTTAATTGTTTTCTGGCGCTAGTTTAAAATTTTGCAATCCAGGAGGTTTCAAAATATAATTGAGGCCGGTGATTACCCAGGAAAATAAAATCTCGAAGCAAAATAACGCTGTCGTAAAACCTTAGCTTGTTTTATCAATGTGGAAAAAAAGAAGCTGTCACCGTACATATAAGAGAACGTGTCGTTATGAACATTCACCTTCTGAGGGTCATTTTTTGAAGCAAGCCCCTATTACATGCTTAAAGGTACTCAAAAAGTGTTACTCAAACCTGTAGAATAAATTGCAATGTGCTTTCGTCCACCGCAGCTTCTCCGAAAGTCACCTTGACATGGTAGCTTGCAGTGTTCATTATCAACTTCCGCGTCATCGTTGAAATAAGCTCCACATAGGCATTCCGACGCCATTAACAGACCAGCGAAAGGAAATGTCTTAGAAGCACAGTGGTTGATGCATACATCCGGGACCATGGCCGGATGCCCTTCGTATCGGTACTTGAGTTGGGTAAGGGATTCCGTGTTGTCAAAGCAACCAATGTATAAACCAGCTGAAGACTTCAAAGGATCTGAGGATTATTGCAATGTATACAATCAAACAAATAACTGTCTCAGGAAACGCGGGAAGTTTAAAAGGTTAAGCGGCAAAGGCCTTTGGGAAAAGTCACTCTCTCTAAAGTGCCTTGCGCGCCTAGAAAATTTATTCCCGAGTTTGCTTGCGATCCACTAGGCCCCTAGATGCTAAAAGCTACTGATATTTAGTGTTTGTTACAAAAACTGTGATGTAAAAGACTACGTTGTCGCAGTAACTCAGTACAACACGTTCCAACAAAGTACTCTTAGTTAAGTTTAAACTATTTAAGGATTTAAATTAACTATAGAATGATTATTATTGAAGCTCTTAATAATCTATGTTATTTTTGTATATCATTGGAATCTGATTAAGACAGACAGGAATCACAGTACAGTGTGACAGCCTGAATGTCTGACTGCATGATTGTCTACCAAAATAACAGAAGGACCTTCTCTACCATTACCTGAAGACTCATTGCTTGCCTTACAGAAGTTTGAATACCTTACTAACTGACGCAATTTGTGATCGTGAGAAACGGGAAGGAACGAAAAAGTGAACAACTGACTCAAGAATAAATATTGACATTTATTCACCAGCAAATTCGGGTGAATCATCGTCTTCTGATTGTGGAAATTCGTCGTCTTGCTCTTCGTCAGTTTCATATTGTGAGTCATCAGTATCTTCGCCTCCGTGGCTGATACTTGCTAAGACTCTTGGATCTTCGCCTATTAAGGGGGCATCTTGTCGCTTTAGACCCACTTGTTCTATGTCTTGTGCTGGACTGGGATCTAACAACGATAAGATAAACCACATAGACTATGGTAAATCATGGACAATAAAACACTCCTAACAGTTGCGCGAGAGATAAATCACCTAGCCTAGGTATGCATAAAATCATAAAACAAATACCTGGTAAATGGAGTTCAATGACGACTGGATTACTCCCAGGACTCAACGTGAAGGTTTGAGTGGTGTTCAGTCCATTGGGAAGTTGTAATGTCACCTCGTAATCTCCGAAAAATCCACGTGTTTCAAAAAAGGCCATTGATTGGTCAGTGAACGTGGGAGATAACGTGACGTGTGTGGTCCATTGATGCAGGAGTCTGCGATATCGCAAACCAGCGGCGTTAATCTACAGGTGAAGAATAGAAAAACAAGATATATGCGTGAGGTTAGCATTACTCAGCGCTGTTTTAAGCCTTTTACAAAGGGGAATAATCAATACAGAAAATAATATTTACTTTAACTCTTTAACTAAATTTTCTCTAAATAACCGTCAACCGTCAAAATTGGAAAAAACAGGTGCGGAATAGAAAAGCAAGATATATCCGTGAGGTTAGAATTAGTCAGCGCTATTTTAAGCCTTTTACAAAGAGAAATCATCAATACAGAAATTAATATTTACTTTAACTCTTTGACTAAATTTTCACTAAATAATCGTCACCGTCAAAAGCCCTAAAATTTAGCCGTCAACCGTCAAAATTGGAAAAAATGACTGTCAACTGTCAAAGCCACTACCCCAGTGAGACCCTATTACGAGGGAGAGGGAAAACATTGACCAATAGCTGACCGGCCCATCCCCAGTAACTATCCCAGACGTCTTTGCGAGAGCTAACTCCGCCAAGATTCCTTGTTGTTTGTAAAGTGGCGGATTAGTATCTTTTGGGATCATCATACGTTTCTGGGAAACTGCCCACCTACCCCTCCCCTAAGCCAACATTTTGCCCTAGGTGAGAAGTAAGTGTAAATGTTGGCTTAAGGGAGGGGTAGGTGGTATTTTTTGATACCTGCCAGTCGTTTCCATCCACAAGAGAAGTGTAAGGACCTCTCCACGAACTCTGGCTCCAGAAACTCCACAAAATCAATCCCTGGACATTTGGGTTGCTAAATGCAGCTCTCATGACAGTTTCCAACGCATCGGCTCGTTTAAACGGATTTTTCTCGAGAACGTCAACTTCTGTCAGCCATATTGGAATCTTGGCCTTACTTAGCATGTTCAAATAATACTGCAACAAGTGAAAAAAGGAGTCACAAAATATCAATTAATTCATTGGATTTTAAGTGACTTTTTTTCATAATGACGCAATCAAACTTTGAAAACGTCGCCCCGACTATTTCAACTCCCAGACGATTGGTTTGGATCACCAACATGGCCGCCGTTTCATTGTTTTGGAACATCAATATGGCCGCCGTGACGTCATGTAGAACTGCTCTATCATCTATCAACTGCTCTAGCAAATCTAACGGCAACATTTTGGATTTTTAATTGACGTACATAAACCTGTAGTAGGATTAGATAATCGCATTGTTTAAAATCTTGCTCGGTGATACTGTCCTTTTAAGTTACTAGTCATCTCTATTTCGGAGTACCAGGTTTACTTTGGTGTTTGTTCCTCCATGATCAGGGGCTGATAGATTGCCGGCTCCTGCCTCCATTCCTCGACATTAGTTAAGATCAATGAGTTTCAGCCCAGTTTTGAAGTTTGAGCCAAGAAATAATAATGAGACAGAGAAGGAATCTTAGGGCGTTATTTTAGCAAGTTGTGAATAAACAGAAGTCTATTTACTGGGACGTTCGCACATTTTAATCGATTGTTTGAAACGTCATCAAGTCCACGCGCGACTTCCTCAAAGCGAACAATGCAGAATGTTGTAATGTCAACAAACCAAGAGAGCACAATGTCCCAATACTCTCTTTCTACAACACTGAATAAAAGTTCGCGGACCTCATTGGAAATCAACTTAACTTTGGTGAAATTCACATATCCTAAGGCTTTTTTTTTAGACTGGACACTTTCCTCTCTTTTCCATAATTCTCCCTTGGTACGGTTTGAGTGACATTTCAACCTCTTGGTAGAAAAAAGGCGACTTTGAAATTCTTATCAAAGTGTCAAAAACTACGTACTTACCTGAAGAAGTGTCGGATTCACGTGACCAGTGAAATGACCCTGAACTCCAATTCCGTCCAGCGGAATTCCTCGTGATAGTAAATCCTGGACTTCTTCAAGAAAGGCCTGGTGAAATTGAGACACATAATCATGTTTGTCATTCCGATAGACAAGCAAATCGAAAATGTTACGACTTTGGGAAAATTTGTTTTTTTCCGCAGTTCTTAGAAGTAAGTATCTGGCAAGGAAACGTTCAAACTAACTCGTTTTCTTAATGCAAATAGGGCTGGAATAAACATTTCAGTGAGTGATTGTTGCTTAATCTAGCCTTTCCCTCCACTAATGTCCAAGAATTTTCAGTGATACACTATAACTTACCTGGGTTAATTGTCCATTTTCTACAGCATCGAAATCATTGACAAACAAATCAACGCCGGGATCAACACTTGCCGCTGTTAAGTACATCCAGTCTCGAATGGCTAATCCTTCTCGGTCCGCGAAAAAAGAACCATGTAGCATTTCATTGTTAACATCCCATTGCATAAAGCTATAAACGTAACAGGTAGGGTTAATCTTTGAGTCAGAGAGGCCTCAAGGTTTTTTCTTTCCTTTAGAAAGTTTTGAAACAGGGCTGCCCAATTTCCAGAAAGGTAAAACGTGATTCAAGTTTCTTCTTTTTGCAAGCTCTTTCTACCGGCGTGCATAGGGACTGCTAGGGGAAACTTCGAAATGCACTCATATACGAACAACATTTTCGAAAACAATCTGTTTTTTAAAAAGAGTGAAAGATACTGACTCACCGTCCTCGATATCTAAAGAGAAGAGTTTGTAATCTTTCCTTCATCTTTTTTTTGAGCTTATCGTTGGGGAGTTTCTTCGCCCAAAATGGAACCTCTGTGTCGACCGCCCAGAAAACGCAATGGCCACGGATCATCTTGCTAAAACGCAAACAATGTGACATAAATATTACGAGTGAAATGACCAGATGTTACCTTCAGGACTGATTTAACACAAACATTTCTACCAGAGATGAAGGTAAAGAACGTCAAGGAAAATGCAAATACGTCCGAAGAAGTCTCAAAAAAAATGGCTCAACAATCTAAGAAATTCGCAAAAGTAGAAAAAATATGCAAAAAAAATCGCAACAAAATTCGCATATTTTGTAGCATTCATCACAGTTTTTAACAAGAAAATGCATTCTTAACTGCGCATTACGAGGCATCCATCTAGCAGAACCTCCTTCTTTTCTCTTATTGAGAGAGGAGGGGTATATCCAGGAATTTTTTATTAAGGGGAGGGTCCAAACTTTGGTTCTGAAAGGTCTGTTGAACATTTTTGTGACCAGTTGAGAAAGCAGAGACGATCACGTGTTTCTCAATCTGTAAACGCCGGTCGCTGTTGGCGCCGGAAATACCGCACTTGCGAGCAGAGGCGAACAGATCATTGGAGGTTACTCAAAACAATTACATTTTTGAATATCCTTGGAATTTAGTTTAGTTGCAAAATGCAAAGTCCGTTTCATTAAGAAAATTAGCCAGTTAATAAGTGAACTACGATCCTCTCGATGTAAGAATTTCCGTCTCAAACAAGCGTCAGGTTTGACGGGGGGGGGGGGGGGGGGGGGGGGGGGGGGGGTNCTCTATCAGCATATAGTGGTATAACAAGGAACCTTGAGTTGGCTTACTTGTTAGCTTGGAGGAAATCTACAGCTTTATCCGCAATGTCATAACTTATGTGACCCTGAAGCGAAAGGTACCTAAAATAAGTTCAAAACGCAAACGGTGCGTCAGTTATAACACACAGTGCAGTTAGAATAGTAAATTTTCTTTTTATTTTGCATATTTCGACTCCAACAACAACAAAATAGTACCATATGGGGTAATTCGTCTGACACGACAAGGAGTGTTTCATGTGATATCCAAACACGGACCGACGCTGGTCATCTGATCTCCAAACCCTTAGAAGTAATATATCAAATACGATAAGCCGGAGTGTTTCATCTGAAAACCAAACACCGAGAGGTGTTATTTTAAACACGAGGATGAGTATATCGTCTGATATTCATTTGCTTCAATCCCTTTATGTATCCCGTCTTCTAATGCTTCCAAAGCAAATAAGTAGTTTCTGAGTACGTTTTTGAATAAAGTCATGACTCTAGTAAATAACTCACCAGTTTAGGTTCGACGTAACCCCATTTTAGAGAACTTTCCAGGACGGCCCACTGAAAGTTTTTCAGGTAAAAATCGCGATATTCGGGTTTGTGCAGCAGGAAGTTACTATTCACAGCAGCACCAAAGGCAAAAAGATGCGATTTCTGTTTTACCTACACGAAAAAAACGTCATGTTTTACACAAGGGTACATTTGAAGATGCGCATAAACCAGGCGACAAACTTTATACACGTCAATGCGCCCGTAAACCAGTGAGAGTATGAATAGAATAGAACATTAAAAAAGAGAATAAAACAGCTGAAATTTCGTGTTTCTGGTTGGGAGACTGCCTATTACATTGTATGTTCACAACAGCATCATGCACCCAGAACCCAATTATCCCAATGAATGAACAGGGACATTGTTTGGAAACGTTCTGCTGAACGGCTCTCTTTGGAGTGGTCATTATATAGGCCTTCTTCGCAAAGTCCGATAATTCAAACTTCATTGAACCGCCCGACAAACGGTTGTGCAAAAGAACTGCTTTGTAGCTTTCATTTGGATGATTATACGTCCTCAGAGTCAAAACTACATGAGAAAGCCAAGTAAACATAACCAAAGGTTTCTGCTGAACATTTTTGATTTACAGAAAGATCAGAAATTGTATAATGTAAACATAGCCTAAATGTCCGCTAATCGAACTTACTTTGATCTTAAGTTTCGGGAGCAGATCTGAAGTATATCGAGAGCCTGTGATATTCACTCTGAAAAAAAAAATCCATAATATAATTATAATGAGATAAAACAACTTAAAAGAAAACGATAGAATTGAGTTCATTTTCATAAAACCAAACTGATTTCAAACCTGAATTGAATGTTCCGTTTCCTGTATTTATTGATCAGTACATCACTGTTCCTTTTCCAATCAGATGGCTGCAGTATTTCCCCAAGATACAAGTCATCCAATAGAATATCGACAGTTGGCTTTGATCCTTTGAAGTAAATAAAGACGAATTGGAATCCTGCTCTGGCGAGCGGCATCTCAAACGCAGTCTGCCAGCGCACCCAGCCATAGTCTAGAATGAGAGGAAATACGTTTTTCTGAAATATTTTTACTAATTCTCTTATTATGAATACAAGCCTTTCAAGTAAATTCAGCCTAGTCTGCCAAGATGTAACCTGAGATCAGGCCCAATTCTAGCAGTTCTCATGCATTCTCTCTTACGAAACGAAAATAGAGCCTGATCTCAGGTTAGCCTAGACGTCTCTGATATTAGGGGAGCACCTCCACCTCCGCCTCCCCCTCTCCCCCTTGCGCGCTGGTAAGATAGAGGAAGAGTTCCGGGAGGACACTGACCGAGTTGGAATTTCAATGTCGTTTTAATGGCCATCTATTTTTCGATCTCACACCTACCCCTTCATGGTTCCAGCTAAATAAAACTTTTAGGGTGAAGCTTTTAAAAAATCATGGCAATATTAATAAGAAGATTTTGAACAGGTCGTACTGAATGTGTTTTATCATTTATTCATATTTACCTTGTGAATATTTAGTCCTCTTAGCGAGCAGTTTATTTTTCTGTTCCTTATCTCCTCTCTTCTTATACCTGAGCCACAGCTCAAGACTGTGAATGTCTCCTGTTTGTTTGCGATCCAAAAGCTTTGTCCATCCTTCGAACTTGTAGACTCGACCTGGCAAAACTCTGTTTCCTGTGGAAAAAAAAAATTAGTCAGAGCCTCGGATAGCGGTTATGAGGTTAGCCATCGTCTCACCCATTCAGACATTCATTATTTTAGACAAATTAAAATTTCCTTGATATAGATGTTTTTCGCTATAACACCCACAATCAAGGACATTCAACTTGGGTCATCCGCTGACTGCTCTGATACCTGTCTTTCTCTCTTCCAATGTTATTTTGTAGTGGTTTTTCGGTGGAATTGTCCAAGTTCGAGGTCAACATTGAAAGGGACAGGGAAAAGAAGATCTAGCATAAGGAGCACAACATATCAATGTTATTTCTTCAATTGACCCAAGTTCTAATTTCACGGATTGCAGTTGCGCTACGAAGGGGACAAATCAAAACAATTGACGACAGGAGTTTACAATTGTTACAGTTGTAGCAATTCACTTGGCTCACCTACATACTGTCCAGGTCCTGCCCATTCAGACAATCGAGCCAGACAAATCCCAGTGTATTGCCCTTGCTTTGGATATTCCTGGGTATACCGTGCAATAACACCGCCCCTAGGATCATCCGTCTCACCCTGACAGCTCCAACCTTTTACCGGGTCATTAATCAACGGATCCTCAAAGCTTGGATTGGTCAGAATATTCGTTCCACTCACTGGAGGTCTGTATACTAAAATTTCAAAGAAGAATTAATAATCTCTAAATTAAATTCATTTTCAAGGAAACCATTTATAGAAATTAAACCGAGCACGTCAGTAGCCTGCGGGTCTGAGTAGGGGACAATCGGAGCAAGACGCAATTAGATTTTTTGTCAATTCTGATTAGTTGCTTTGATAATGAGCTGTCGCACTTTCGCTTGTTCTATTTTGCGCGCCTTTCTAAAGCTAAGAAGAAGAATAAAAATCCCCCAAATTGACAAGCGTCTTTCTATCTTTGAGGTGACCCGCTCGTACGTTACCCTTCCCCCCTCCTAGCCCCTGCTCCAACTAACTACTGCATGCTTACACATCCTTCTCACTCACGTGGTTGGCAACTGTGCGAATTTCATGGAACAAAAGAAATTTTTTGTGTAAGGAAAGAATTCAATCCCCACAGGATGTTCTTGGTACAGAACCAACATGGCCATCGATTCATTATTTTGTGCGCCAAAATGGCCGCCGTGATGTCAAGTGAAAAGATCTGTCAGTGAAATTGCTTGCACACGCAGATAATCACCTACCACCAAAGTCTCGTTCGTCAATTTCCTTAAAGAGAGGCTGCAGCATTACCGGTCTCACGTGACCACCTTTAACCAATGGGTGTCTGGCAGCATTTGATGGAATATTCTGAGCAAAGTCGTTCTTTTTTATTGCATATGTGGAGCTGTAGAGATCATAGATGAAGTTTCTTTTTTCCTGCTCGTCGTTCACGTGTAAGTGGCGTTTGTTTCCTGGTGATTAAAGCGCCTAACATTACAGACTGATTTTCTCAATGACCTCAATGAGAATTTGGTGTGTGGAGTTTTCTACTTTCTCGCCTGTTTTTCTCAAAATCGGATGGCACTCAGTCAGAGAGAATGGAGCGCAATGCAGCTCGTAAAAACAAACAATAATGACGATTTACTGTATGAAACTATTATTTTCCTAAGAAACAATTGCCTAATTTTGATTGTAGTATAAAAAAGAACATATGTGACATAAAATTTACAGTTTTTAACAACAATGGAAAGTTAAAAAATCAAGATGTTATTATTGAAAAAGGAAAATGTTAATTATAATAATAATAATAATAATAATAATAATAATAATAACTTTATTTCTATAGCCCTCTTATCCTATGTTCAAAACAGTTAGTTATATGAGATAAGGGAGTCGTCCATTTCGAATAGAGTTAATGTTAGCGTAAATGATGGAGTTTGACTTTGGCAGATTGCAGAAACGTCGGTCTCGACAATTTTGGTACGCTACGACAAGCGCTTTTGGCTAACTGCGTGCCAACAAAGTGTAATCAAGAAAAATTACAGAAATTGTTGTTGTTTTTATCGTACGTCCAAATCGAATTCTGTGTTGTAATTACCTTCCAAACTGTAGACGTCCATAGCTGTAGGCCCCCCTGTGCCATTGTAACATTCATAAGATGGACCATACCTCATGTAGGTCAGTGCGGCGTGCACGCTACCCAAGCATTCAGAACTGTTTCTTATTCCAAACACAGGTAGCCCACGCGAGCGCGCAGCTAGAGCACAGTCATGTACTGCTGAAACGTGATTCTTTGCAGGTGATAAGATGATTTTCGGAAGAAACTTGCTGTCATTGCTGGGAACATATTTCCAACAACCGAGGTAATCATAAACTGCGGGTAAAAATCGTACACTTTTGTTAGAAACCTGCGTTTGATACTCAAGCTTAAAATTCGTTATGAGCAATTGAAGCATGGACCGAGTTAACTTTCGCAAAGACTTCTGGGTCTCTTACTGAGGACAGAGAAAAAAATGACAAATAGCTGACCGGCGCGTCCCTAGTATCCCAGAATCCCAGAAGTCCCCACAATCCCAGCAGTCTTTTTGAAAGCTAACTCTGGCCCAGTTTCTTTCTCCTTTGTAAAGAGGCGAAATGATGTACCTTTCTGTGCGTATAAAAGCTCAAAAACTTCCAGCAGCACAAATATTAAGAAGCCTTTCATGGAGCTTTCATGCTCTATCACCACCTGTCTCCTCGTCTCCAACCGTTCCTATGATCCTTCCTAAATATACACCTCTTCAAGAAACAAACAAACAAGCAAACAAACAATTAATATAAAGTGACGAAAGTAAGGTGTTTAAAAGATCAGGAGTTAAACTTAATAAAATTCAAATTTATTTTTCTGGAATCAATCTGGATATCAGGGAAAGAAGTAAAAATGAGATTTGGAGCTGAAATGTGCCCGCAATTGTTTCTTGGTTCGTTACTGAGAGCGCGCTGATGAACTGTTGCCAATTTTTTCGCTCTCGCTAGCAACAGTTCCAGACGTCCTTGAGAAAGTTAACTCGGTCTAGTCTCGTTTGCGTTTCTAGAGTAGCGAATGGGATTGAACAGTTTCTAAACTGGCGGACGATTGTAAATTGACACTGACATGAGAAGCGTTCAAGATCAAGTTAACGCGATAAACTGCAGTAATAAGTAGTTGTATAACGGTGAATCTCAGTATGAATATAATTTTGTTATAACATTTTAAACGAATACCTTCAAATCAAACCAATATCTACGATGTAGATCCTCTGTATTTTTACAGGTAAACAAAAACAAGAAGCAAATCAATTCCAAACAAGAGCGTGTAACATTAAAAACTCTTATTACGACAGTACCTGTCTGCAGGGACGCAGCGAGCCTCATGTTCGCACTGGTTTCGTATCGAAAGCTGCGGTCCAAGTATTCAAAAGAATATTACTTCGAGTGGTTCACGATTTGCCCCTATTCACTGAAAAATGTAATGCGAACCGCTGTTTACTTCCTTAATAAGAACTTCACCAAGAAATCCAAAAACAGTCGTTCTAGAAATCGTAAACACCATGAATATCATTAAGAAGTTCGAAATGTACTTACAATTAGATTTGAAAGCAAATTATTAGATTTGACGTTCGCCAGTCATCGGCGTAGCATGCGTTTCCTTCTTTCTTTTAAGTGAAAGAATTTCAAGACATGTCCTCATCCTGCGATGTTTTTCTTTTGAAGGTGGTGATTTCCACATGGAAATTTCATAGGAAGTGGAAAAGATCACTTTAGTCAAGTGTCAACGACAGGTGACTGACCTATGATTGGTGCTTCAAACATCTTTCAACACCTGCAAAAGTTAATAGGTGTTGATGCCTTGCTCATTCAACCAGCAGACTGATTTAAAAAGAAAGTTTTTCATTTGGCTGGATTCGAAGAGGAGATCGGATGAAGCAATGTGTGTGTTCGGATTGGCCACCCAAGCAGGAAAGATTAGCCTCTCTTCCCCGCGCGGGATTTCCCTTCTTAAGTTGCAAGAAATAAAAATACTTTTGGCCATATGATAAATCGCTCATTGAGCTGCCTTAGCTTTTTGTGTCAACATAGCTCGATATTTGCCTCTTTAATTTCTTGTTTTGTGTTCCATAAAAATACAAAATATCAGTTAATATCTAGTCATGTTGGCCTCAGCGGTCTTAGTACGTCAGTAACACGGTTTTTAGATACACGGATTTTTGGTCCCATATGAGCTCATATGGACCAATCATAAGGACCCTTTCATTCCAGCGGAACTCAGTGCGGCGTCCAAACAAGTACG